GATCATTACCTTGTCAATGAGCAGCTCAAACAACTGGATTGTTGTTGTCCGTACTTTGCTGTCATCGTCCAGCAGGCAGGGACACAGGGCAGGCATGAGGCTTGATAGACCCAGACGTGTCTGGAGAATTAAACAAGTTTTCAGAAAATGGTTACCACTTCTTAATTGGTTCAGAGCTCTCACTATGGTACTAATAATTAATGTAGGTATGTAATAACTGAATGAAATAATTAATAGTGCACAAGACCAAAAGTTCATAAATATTTTATGTTTAGTAGACAGTAGAAAATATCAAAATTTTCTTAATCAATCGTTATTTAGCTTGAGATTTAGCCTCAATATTGCTCAATTAATCCCTTCAATGATCAGGTGCATAACACTAAGTAGGTCTCTCAACACCATGCATGAATTCATTAATTCAGTCATTGTGGGAAATGGTGAGCAAAACTACAATTGGGACCAAAAACAAAAGATTAGGAGCAGGCAAAAATTTTAATGTTAACTTGGATGGAAATAGATGCAAATGAATCAATAAAAAATGTTAAAGACTATTGCAATTTATTTGTCACATCAACATGAAGACAGGCTAAATTCTATAGTAATTGATTTCTCAATTATGTACCGGTAATTTAACAATTAAATTACAGTTTGGTTCACAAATCAAAATTCTATAAAAAAATATACACCAATTCAACCAGCTGGTTGACTCAGACTGAGTAAATCAAGGTCAGTAGGTAATTCTCTATATTGATTAGCCTCAAAATAAAAAATTTTTTTACCCAAAACTCTAGTCTTCAAATGCAGATATAAATAATGAGCAAATAATACAACATTCAATAATGTTAATTATAATAATAATCTAACCTCTTCCCCACCTGTTCACTGGACAACTTCCCAAAGAGTTCATTGATGCCCTGACATGCGTCCAACTTCTGATTAGGGTTCTTCTGACCAAGTCTGGAGCACAATTCCTGAAAACTCTCACATTAGTCATGCTGCTTCTAACATAATTTTATCCTAAAGCATACCTATCAGGCAAATCTGAGTATTTCGCAATAAATGATATGATCATTTCAATTATAGAGCCAAATATGATTATTCATTGCTAACATACATAATTAATGCTGATTATTGTCATTACCGTGTGATGAGACAGGCACTGCTATTCAATAGTGAATAATGATGTTAAATCAAGAAAGGCGTTCAATTAATATACTAGCTGAATGGAGCCAAGTAATCAAATTATAAAATTAGAAAAAATCACTAGTAACAACCCATGGTTATGGATACCGGTACTCACCGATAGAGTATAACGCTTTTTAGTGACATTTGAACCAGCTTCCTTTTCTGCCAGCTGTTCAAGAATGAGGATTGACCGAGTCTTGAATGTGGTAATGGTTTCATTCTGAGGTTTCTGCAAAGTCTTGCCAACTTTGACTTTCTTCTTTACAAAATCTTTTTGTTTTTCACGTTTACTTCTTTGCGATTTAGCCATAGTTCAACACTTTTTCAGTAACTCACACGTTTCATGGAAGATTAACTGTAATACAAATATGGTCAAGCTAGTTTGATATTAGTCTGAACAAATAATATTATGAAAAATATGTAATATTAGTCTGAAAAATATCAGGCACAATGATGTCTTGGAATTTGCAGTCTCAATTCTGAGTCTAATGAAATTGAAAAGGAAATTGAGCAGTAGTAACATGAATTCTCTACTAAAATACAAAATTGGTGTAAACAATTCAAATTAATGACCTAGTATCAGAGTTTGTGCACAAAAGATGAATACAAACTTTATAAACTAAAATACACAAATCCTACACAAAGACTGCCCCCATGT